CAGCAGCGCCAAGGTGAGGCCGGCGATCCCGGCCGGTTCCCCCGCCGCGGGGGTCCCTCCCTTCCCTCACGCTGCGGCAGAGCCAATTTTCTGGGGGAAGAGGGGGTAAAAACCCGGCAGCGTCCCCTCAGGCTGGGCGGGGGGGGGGTGTACCCTCAGCCCACGGGTGGATTTTGGCTTCGGGTGCGTCCCCTGACCCACGCTTCTCCCTCGGCAGGGGAAAGGCTTGTTCGCCACCAAGAACATCCGCAAAGGGGAAACCGTCTTCGTGGAGAGGCCGGTGGTGTCATCCCAGTTCCTCTGGAACGCCCTGTACAACTACCGAGGTGAGCGGCCGGCGGTGGTGGCACGTCCCCGTCACCTGCCCTGGTGAGGTGACCGCGGAGTCCCGAAGGAGCTGCCTGGTTTTCAAGGAGGTTTGGGTTTGTCTTAGCACCGCTGGGAAGGTGGCCCTGCTGCCATTTCTACCTCTGCACTAAATGAACTGTTGACAAGTTGAAAATGCTGGGGGCGTTTGAGAGATGGTGACTTCCATCAACCTTGGAGGAGAGCACCACGTGCCACCATTGGGCACCATCTGTATGGGAACCCCGATTTTTTAGTGGCGTGGGTCCTATCCCAGTCTCACCGTGGCTGGGTACAGCCTGCGAAGGTGCCAGTGCTCTCTGGAGGCATCAGAACAAAAAATGAGTGTTTTAAGAGCAGGATTTTAAACTTTTTTGTCCTATGTAGAGCCTGCTGTGTGCTGAGCTCCGTCGCGGGTCAGCGACATGGGGACGCTTGCCATCGTACGGTCTTCCCAGCGTTACAGGGCAGCAGATGAGGGCTGGGGGGGTTTAAATTGCAGCAGAAATGGTCTTTCCTATGGAGGGAGCAGTAAGAGACTGGTGCCTCCAGCTCGGAGATGGTCCACTCTGATGGTGTTGGTACCAGTCGTGCTGTCTTGCCCCAGGCTCTGGTCCCTTTCCTTTTCGAAGACTGTGGTCTCACTGTGGCATCCATGCGTCTTGTCTCCCTGCAGCCTGCGATCACTGCCTGCGGGCTTTGGAGACGGCAGAGGAAAACGCCCAGCGGCTGCTGGGGAAGAGCTCACTGGTGCTCCCTCACCCAGAGCAGTGCAGCATCCGGAAAGACCTACACCAGCAGTGTCCCCGGTGCCAGGTACGGGGCTGCCGGGAGGGACCGTGGTCTTGTTGGGGTCGCTGACTCCTTTACAGCATCTAGCCAGGTAGTTGCGCTGCCCCGAGATGGGTGTCTGCCTTTCCCTTCTGCATCGCGATGGCTAAAGAGCTGGGGCTCAGATGGTCAGGGAGGGGGCACAGCTGGGCCTAGGACCCCCTTTTTCTGCTGCTGTAGCCAATGCCGGGCGCTGTGCCCCTCGCTCTAGGTGACGTACTGCAGCGCTGAATGCAGGCAGGCCGCTTTGGAGCAGTACCACCAGGTCCTCTGCCTTGGCCCGTCCCGTGATGACCCCACGCACCCCCTCAACAAGCTGCAGG